CCTCCTCCTCCCACCCCTCCTAACCTCCCCTGAGCCCCTATCCCCCGAATCCGCCACAATCCTCCTCGCCAACCCGCCCTTCACAGACTTCCAATCCCTCCTCCCCCAACTCGGCGACCTCATCTCCTCAACCCTCCACACCTCGGCCGTCTCCCTAGCTCGCATCGCCAACCCGACAACGAACCCTTCCTTCCTCCACCGCGCCGTCCCCGGCCTGCAAACAAGCTACCACAAACTCGCCTCCGACGTGTCCCAGTCAAAACTCGCACTCGCCCGAGAACGCCTCCGCGCGGCAGATACCCTAACCCAATGCCTAGACGAGCACGCCGCGGCGCTGACGCTCCTGGTTAGAAGCCTCGAGGCCAAACACGGCGTCGTGGCGCGGAGTCTCGAGTTTCGCGCCGCCGAGACGGGGCTGGAGGCGCAGAGGGCCGAGGCGGATGCCGTGGCTGCGAGGGAGGGGGTTAGGAGGGAGGTGTACTCGCCCGAGATGGTGGCTGCGCTGACGAATTATTCTGCGCATTTGCGGGATGCGAGGATGAGGCTTGAGGGGACCTTGATGACGCTCCGGGCTGAGTTGGAGGGGTACGGGGTCGGGGTTGAGGGGGAGGAGGGGAAGGCGAGGACGATGAAGGAGATGGCGAGGAAGAAGAGGCAGATGGAGAGGGAGTTGGAGGATGCGAGTCGGGATTTGGCCAGGTTGGATAGGGCGTGATGAAGTATCATGTGCCGATGGGTGCCAAGTTTGAATTCATGGCAAGCAAGCAAGCGATTGGACATGTTTACATTGAAAGACGTGTCGCTATATTGTACACAGCTGGAATGCATGTGTGGTCTACCAAGGGGTGCCAAACGTTCTATGTCCACCGGCCATTCTAACCTTGGCTGCGCAAAAGAGAAGACCTCTCCCTCTTTGGTTGTACAAAACCCCCCTTTTTAGAAAACCAACTACCCTTTCAACAGAACCTCGTGATATCTCTTGGAGAAATGCAAGCTGGCTCAGAGCACCTCTAGACTGAGACTCGCGTTGGGACAAATCGCAAAAATATTCACAATGGCAAGATTTAACCCTTGACCTTGTAGATGGACTCGGCGAGGCGGCCGACGTTGCCGCTGGTGATACCGGCGACGGAGATACGGCCGTCCTTGGTGGCGTAGACGGAGTGGTCGTTGGCGAGGGCGTCCATCTGGTCCTTGGTCAGGCCAGTGTAGGCGAACATGCCGATCTGGCTGGTGATGTGGGACCAGTCGTGGGCGGAGCCAAGCTTCTCGAGGTTCTCCTTGAGGAGAGCGCGCATGGTGATGATGCGGTCAGCCATGCCCTTGACCTCACCGAGCCACTGCTGGTTCAGGGCGGCGTCGTTGAGGATGGTGGAGGCGATGCGGGCGCCGTGGACGGGAGGGTTGGAGTACAGAGGGCGGACAAGAATCTTGACCTGGGAGTCGATGCGCTTGCGCTCCTCGGCGTCCTTTGCGACGATGGAGAAGGCACCGACACGCTCGCCGTAGAGACCCATGTTCTTGGCGAAGGACTGGGCGAGGCAGATGTTGTGGCCCTCCTTGACGAAGTGGCGGACGGCGAAGGCGTCGGTGTCGGTGTTACCCGAGGCGAAGCCCTGGTAGGCCATGTCGAAGAAGGAGTAGTGGCCCTGGGCCTTGACGACGTCGGAGATCTCGCGCCACTGCTCGGGGGTAGGGTCGACACCGGTGGGGTTGTGGGCGCAGGCGTGGAAGAGGAAGATGGAGCCCTTGGGGGCGGCCTTGATGTCGGCGACCATGCCCTCAAAGTCGAGGCCGATGGTCTTGGGGTCGTAGTAGCGGTACTTGTTGACGGTGAGGCCAGAGTCGTTGAAGACGGCGCCGTGGTTGGCCCATGAGGGGGTGGGGATGTAGATGTTCTTAGCGCCGGGGAAGAAGCGGGCGAGGAAGGCGCCTCCAATGCGCAGGGCACCGGTGCCGGAGATGGACTGGGTGATGGCGAGGCGGTCGAGGGCCGAAGAGTCGGCGCCGTAGGCGAGGACGGCGGCGGACTTGGTGAACTCGGGGACACCGGTGATGCCGGCGTACTCCTTGTTCAGCTTGGCGGCGATGACCTTCTCCTCGGCGGCGCGAACGGAGGGGAGGACGTAGGGCTTGCCCTGGTCGTCGCGGTAGGCACCGACACCTGTTGTTTGTCTGCGTCAATGGGCATGTTCATTGCGGTGATGATAGACGTTGTGTGCTTGTAGTTGACAGCTGACGGCCGGCTAGCGTTGTAGCTAGCAAGCTTGTGACAGCTCTCTAGCTAGGGTGGTGGTTGTGGTTGTCAAAGTGGCTTGGCGGGGGGCTTTGCGTACCGAGGTTGATCTTCTGCTCAAACTTGTCGGCCTTGAAGGCTTCCGTGATGCCTGTTCGTCTCTTGTCAGTCATGGAGTTGAGTCAACCGGCGAAGCTCGAGGGAGCTCCACCCCAGGAGGTGCGTCATACCGAGAATGGCCTGTCCATTGCGAAAAAGTGGCCAGTTAGCAAAACAGTTCGTTGTGGTGATTGTCGGGATTCTGTCAATCGGCGCATCAAGCACTTACATCCTGCAGTCTTCGTTAGCATTCGTGGCGCATTCAATTGGCATCTGGAGTGTTTGAGACATACAGGAGGACCTTGAGGGACGTTGGCCCAGGTAGAACCGGCTCTGGCGGCCGTGACGGGCAGAGCGCCCATGCGGCGGGCGGCAGCTTGCCGGGTTGCGATTCTGGTGGAGGACAGCATCTTGATTGTCTTTCTCTTTCGGGGATGGGAGAAAAAAGATGTGAATGGAGGAAGAAAAGGAAGAAGAGAGATGAGGTCGAGAGGGGAAGGAAGAGAAGGAGAAAAGACGTAGCTTTCGCTGTTGGCCGGCAGAAAAAAAAAAAGGATCCCAGTGAGGTAAGGACAATCCGCAATAACTTAAGGTGCCGTCTCCAAAGATTCCGAGACAGCGAAGTGCCGACGGGAAAGAGCTGCTGCTTGCTGGCTGCTGGCTGTTGGCTGCTGCAGACGGGGTGGTCTAACCAAGGAATGGGCTGACTTGTGACTGTACCAGGTGCGCCTTGCCCGCCGTTTCTGCCATCTGGGGGCATTCATGTGCTGGGGCGCTTGGCGACCAGCCCTGAATTCAATCCAGTCACATCCCAGAACTGCTCCCAGGTAAGTCCGCACTGAGCAGCGAAGGGGGTGTGGCCCCCCGGTGCGGTGCGACTCCGGACCTGGAGAAGGAGAAGAGGAGCATCGTAAGTGGACCGAGTCATGAGAGGACCCACTCGCATCGTGCAATCGCGGGGGAGCGGATTTACTGTATCGCCGCTACCCGCCACAGGGGAGGAATCCCGACGCGCCTTCCACGCCCTTGACGCCCACGATGCGTCGATGTCCCTTCCCCGGCCCGCTTGTTTTTGACTGGAGCGCATGCAGCGCGCAACTTACGTAGCAACTGAACCCGTCCCTGGTCCTTCCGGCTTCGGATGTCGCCGCGGTTGACCGTTCTCAGCTCACTTCTTCTACCGCTCGACTCAAGCAGGAGCTTCTGCTTCGTCATTCCAAGGGTCAACTGTCTGTCTCGGGCGGTGTGTCTCTCTTTTTACCTTTTGGTCTTCCTCTTTTGCTGGCTGATGCGCGCTAGCTACTTCTATTCGCTCGCTTCAAAGGAGTTTCACCTGTCTTGGGGTTTGTTGTTTCTTTTTCGCTCATGCTTCCATTCTTCCTGCCTCTTTTGAGCCTTTGACACTGCTGGAAACGATCTCGCCTAGCACGTGTCTGATGCAGTGTTCTTAAGTTTAGGCGGTTAGAATTCCCCTTTTCGGCCTTCGCTCATCGCACTAAGCGACATCGTAATGCTATCACTTCCTAAGTTCTGAAGAAGCAAGCATCGCCATCAACTGCTAGAGCTGTCAAAGCACCCTTCCATTGACTTCTGCAAGGGATGCCATCTGTGACTTTCCGTCTTTTTCCCGGACTAAGGGAACCGTCCAATGCATCTCTGCTGCGGACGAACGGCCCCTGGGATGATGGTTCGTGGCTGCATCAAGGCCCGTGCTTGTCAAATTGGCTTTCTACTTCGCTTGCAGTCAAGATCATGCAAGATCGCCACGAACCTGAGGAGCCTCATTACTCCCTTCATCCGACCTCGTGGCTTCTCCTTTGATCCCAAGTCTCGATTCTATCCTTCAATTCAACTCAATGCCAGAGCCTTGGCGACACGGGAGAAGCTGAGTCATCTACTCACATTTCCAAGCTCAAAAGCCGCTCGTTACGTGTAGCGCGAGAGTTGAGGCCCTGTGGACTCGAATTGCACGGAGAGCGAAGTCCGAAATGATCCGTCTAGGCCATCATCGTTCTCTAATACACTTTATCAACCACACAAAATCCTAGCCTGATTCTATTCGGTAGGATGAGTAATTTCGTGTTTTTCGTGTATGGTAACTGTCTCATTGGACTCGCTTGGCACAGCAAAAGTAGATGGCGGTATTAGTGCATACCCGTGTGGTTCTCCTGAACCACTTCAGGTACGCCTTCTACGTTCCTCTAAGATATTATTCAGAACTGATGTTCAAGATCACCTAGTGGCCCCGTGATGCAGGTGTTTTATGCTAGAATGACCCATCGCATGGCGGCTTCAAACCACCAAACGACCTATCTAACAATTTCCAAAGAAACCGAGGATGGGCCAACACGCATTACTTAAGGAGGTTCCGAGCTGCACGTGTACAACATCCAATCACGAAGCCTCTGATACAGCGAATGAGAAAGGTTTTCTCCAAAGGTAAGCCTCATGATTTCAAGCCCTCCCGAGAAAACTGCATGCCAGCCTGATCTTGACACCTCCACAAAACACCACCCAGCGTCAGCAGGTAGCCTGATTCCCTCATCGCAGTTTTCTTCGCAGAAGGGAAAAGCAATATTGATCAAGGCCTTTCGTCAACAGCTTACCGATTTCCTTGAGAGCAAGCGAAAGCATCTTCCACCATCGCTTGCAGCTCTGACCAAATATGGCGGCCGAGAGCGTAGGCCTGGCAGCCTCGGCTGCCGGCCTGCTATCTCTAGGCTTGCAGATCACCGGTGGCATCGTCAAGTACATGGACGCCTTCGAGGGCCGTGACGAAGAATTACGAAACGTTAAGAACCAGAATGCCAATCTGGGGGATGGACGCCTTCGAGGGCCGTGACGAAGAATTACGAAACGTTAAGAACCAGAATGCCAATCTGGGGGCCACACTCCATGCAATAAAAACGGTGTTGGCTGGTCTACAAGGCCAAAGTCCTGCAGTCGCTGCTGCAGTAGATCAGAATATACGAAGCTGCGAGGAGGATCTCCGTGCCCTCGAAGCTCTATGCATTGAGCTTTCTGATCACGCTGGCAGCAGCTGGACAAACCGGCTGGAGAACAAGAAGAAGAAAGTGACTTTTGCGTTCCATCGACCCAAACTCCGAGACCTTGAGCTGCAGCTGCAAAAGGCTCATGGTGCTCTGCAGTTGATACAGGGTAGCTTAGGACTGTACGTTGACATGGACTTCCTTTCGCTTCCCACGATTTCTGACACGGTAGTAGGGAAACCTCGAACAGGAACACAGCTCTGCTGGCAGCTATCGAGTCGAGTTCTCGCGACCAAGCTTCCGAAATGCTCCTAGTCCGGTCAGAAGTAGCAGCATTTGCTACGCCTATAGCTGGCATCCATGACAAGCTACCAGATCTACAAAGCAGTGTGGATCAGACAAGGCAACTCATCGTGGCTCATTCCGGAGCTATTGAAATCGAGGTTCACGAGAGCAGCCGGCGTGTCCGATATGACCTTCAGCATTCACACAACTCGATTGTAGAGCATCTCAAGACAATCGACCACAAAGTACAGCTTCTGGGAGAAGAGAACAGTTTTCTACGAGCATTAGCTCTCAGAGCGGCCTCCAAGCCGGCGGTACTCAAGAGTTTGTGCGATGACATAAAATTGTCAAGAAAGCGCTGCAACCCAGGCAATGCTTCACAACTATCGAAAAGACATCGGGAAAGAACTTCATCAGATCCATCCCAAAACTTGCAGACTGGATTGGAAGTTGGTAGATTATGTATCTGCCCGAGTCCCACACGATCATTCATGCAAGTGCAGATGCAGCGAGGCTACACGCACTTGTCCGGCGAGTGGGAATCCCAAGGCCATTGGCCAAGCTGCCCACTTTCAAAAACGCCGAGGAAGCAACGACTCAAGGCAAGCTTAAAGTACACCGGTGTCTCTCGTCTTCTGAAATCAGTCATTGAAATTTCGTTTGCTTTGACGTGGGGAGCTGGGGGCGGCAGCATCAGTCCCGGCTTTACTTACTATCCGACTGCTGACGTCAACTCGGATCCCGCTTTCCGCTTGATCAGCTTGATGCGGAGAAGCTATCCTGTGCGGGATGTGCGGAATGGGGAACGTTTTATCATCGCTTGTCTAAGGAAGCTGGCAAAACTTCTTGAAGAAAGACGAACTTACCCTACTGTTGTAGACGGCCGAAACAGGACCTTGATGCACCATGCTGCTGCTTCAGTGCAATATTGGGTGAGGACTTTGGTGAGGTCTTCCCACCCCAAACCCATAGTCCGCGACTAAATGGTCATCTAACAGCACAAACCTCATTTTTTGGAATCGAAATTCCGAAGATCGTCCAAGGAGCTGAACACGGTTGCCAAGATCGTCCCAGTTCTGCTCTCGTATGACGTTCCAGCCTTTTCATACGACATAAGCGGCAAGCCTCATTACTTGGTCACGTATACAGAATTGCCAAATCGCTGACCTGCCGCAGGGTTCTCGCCCTTACATTGCTTGACGTATCAAAATGATGAGTGGGCTTTGGACGCCGTCGCGGCCCTATCACGGGCCAACCTTGAAGGTCAGCCGGCCACGTTGAAACAGACTTCAGATCGCCTTTTCGTCCCCGACTTCGCTTTTGAGGCATCTCGTGGCCTACTATTTTTCGGAATGGTCCCTGAGGTTGCGACAGGTGCGGCCATTCTCAGAACTTACTACATTCACCTGACTAATTGAGAAGTAGCTTTTGCATGCGGCCCCTTGAGCATGGCGATTATCAATAATGATTCGGATGAAGTAGATCGTATTTTAAGGCGTTTCCCTGATTCCATAGCTGAACTTGATTTATACAAGCGAAGCCCACTTCATCTCGCATCAACGAAGCCGGAGATTCTCGGAAGGCTCTTGGAAGTTGCAGATTTTAGCATTCTGAAACAGCGAGATAGGACAGGTGCCAACGCACTTGATATGGCCATGGCGCTTAGCTCACGGCACTGCGTAAACGGCAGAGAACATGTAAGGTGCAGAGAGTGTTCTTGCTATTTATGCGCGAAATATCTCCTGAATGCCACTTACAATCTCACTCGGACGCTTCCAATACAGGAATGGGACGGTTATCCGCCAGGTCTGAGTCAATTACTTGAGGGTTCATCGGAGCTCGCTCGGCGTCACTATATCTTTCACTTGGGAAAGATCCGAAGTCTACTGAGACCAGTCCATGCTTTGACAAATAAAAATATGTCTACAAAGCAGGAAGATGGCGAAAAGAGGACGACAAGTGACAAACAAGGAAGCATCTTACGTTCCCAAGAACAGCTGCAAATCTGCGATGAGGCTGGCGGGGCTATAGACTCTATGTCAGACTGGGTATTCCGGCAAATCAGGTCCGTCAATCTGGCTCGGTTGTTCTATCGTCATGGATTCATGCCCAGGCCATCAATATTTCCCCAGCTTTGCCGCCAAAATCTTATCGGTTTCGGTCTTTGGGAACCCCTTAATCCAGTCATTGTTTGTTGGCTTCAGGAGCACGGAGGGGATGTGTTCTGGCGATCGCCCATGGGCCTTATTAACAAGACCGCTGATGATAGAGTGTGCGGCGCACACTACGTCTTCTATCTATTAGGCAAGAAATTCTGTGATTGGTTCCCAAGACGTCAAGGGACAGTCCAAGAACAGGTCGCCTTTGAAACGTTGAAAACAACTGTGGCTCGCCGCAATCTTACGGACAGCTGTCGATGTCCTTGCTCGGCGAGAGGATGTAGTCCATTTGCGTGGATGATGAAGGCCTTCGCCCAGACTTGGGGTAGTTTACGTCAAGCTGAACCGTTAGCATGTTACTACGGTTCTTGCGGCCCGGAGTTCACACTCTTAACTTATGTAGAGGCAATTAGGTTCCTGACATTTGAAGCACTGGATCTCGTTCACAGTTGTTGCAGCACATTTTCTCAAGCCAAGCTTGGTACAGCTTGGACTGAGATGGATAATGCGGAGATCATCGAAGACCAGGGTTTTCTACTTGATTTGCACGAGAAATTGGTTGCAGAATTCAGTCGGGAAGCTGGCAGATACCTGGGAAATGGGCCAAACAATGAGGGATCGTTCCCTCAGTTTTTGAGGTCATACTGGACTGATCGGATTACGGAAGAGTTAGAAAAGCTGAATGGGGAGGACTTGACTCATGAGGAAAGGAGAGGTGCAGAAGAAATCGGCGTTGTGTGGCATGGACCAACCAAGAGCAAGGAGAGCAAGAAGAGCAAGAAGAGCAAGAAGAGCAAGAAGAGCGATGAGTGTGTGCATGGGAATCCGTATCCCAATCGGTATCTGGAACATTGCTTCTCTCAGTTGGATCGCATCTGCCCGGAATACAATGAGCCATGGCCAGAGGGAATACGTCGCAAACATTGATAATCTGTGGACTGGGAAGTGGCAAAAATGATGCGCAAGGGACAGGATGAGGCGATCCTTCAAACGGAGATATTGGGAGTGTCAAATGTTTTAATTCCGCGAGATCTCAATTCAAACAATGTTCCAGGGTCTGGTTTCGTCACAGTATTGATGCATGAGCAGAGGTTGATCGACTGCAGTGCCATCGGCGCTCCTGTGTGTTTTCCCCCTATTACTGAATACTACTTCAAGTTTCTAAAACAATACTGTCTCAAGCTTTAGGAGGCAGGACTGTCGGTACTGGAGGACGTGTCGTTGTTCTGGGTAACTCAGGCACAACAGGGGTAGGAATACAAGCGCAAGCGCTGCTAACCCTTTCAACGGGGCTCTTATCCTTGTTCTCGACACAAGCGCTGGTGGCATACTCTGGCAGCAGCTCCTCTTCAGTGTTCAGTCGCTGAGTGAAGTTGCCGCAGAACTCGACAGACTCCTCCAAGCGATCCGGAATGGATGAAGCCCGCAGAGCGCGAAGGCAGTTATCGGCGTTGCACACAGGCGCCTTGGGGCACTCCTTGGAAGTCATCTTGACGACGAAGCTGCCGCGCTCGATGGTGTGGACAAAGATGAAGCCGGACTTGAAGTTAGCGTAGGACGACCAAGAACCAGCGAACTGGACCTTGCCACCGCCGACTTCCTCATCGTCTTCGGGGTAGATGTCGAAGAAGCCTGCTTCACAAATGCTGGCGCCGGTGGGGTCCTTGGTGACGCTGCTGACATCGATGACGTTCAGGCCGTTGCCGTAGTTGGACTGGTAGAGGTAGCCGCCGACGATGTACTGGTTGTGGTCGATGGAGCGGGTCTTGCCGGCGTAGTGGCCGGTGTAGACGGGCTTTTCGAGGTCGCGGATATCAAAGATGTGGGTGGTGGGAAGGCCCTGAGTCATCGGGCCAACCTTGGCGTCACGCTCGTCGAACTCGTCATCGAGGAAGATGTACTCCTGCCATGTCTCGTTGTTGACGACACCCTGGTGGACATATTGAGCGCCGGGGTAGTCGCTGATGGAGATGATGTTGGTGACGTTGCCAGTCTTGTCGGTGACATCGTAGATGGTCAAGGTGTCTTCGTTGTAACCGTAGCAGATGTCTCTACCGTAGTAACGGGTATCGGGGCCACGGTAGACGAGGCACTCGGCGTCATGGACGTAGCCGTCGCCGGCTGCGCATCCGGGGCTGGTGACGTTGGTGGGATCGCTGATGTCTAGGAAGATCAACCCGCCGCGGCAGGGAAGGTTGTCTCTTACACGAATCGTCGCGTTACCACCGACGGAACCGCAGGCGATAGCATAGTTGAGCTCCTGGTTGACGACGATGTTGTGGGTGCGGCCGACGGGGAGCTCGTCCCAGTGGCCGGTGAGCTCGGCCTGGGTGAAGTTCTTTGGGTTCGCGGGGTCGAGGTCGAGGATTTTCTTCATGTCGAAGAACTGGACGCCGTGCTTGATGGCCTCGGATCCAATGACGGCGATGTCACCGACGATTCGGATTTCTCTCCAGTTGGATCCAATGGAATCGTATTGAGGCAGACGGCCCAAGTATACCAGCTTGCCCTCCTTGCTGATTTCGGCAAAGGCAGTGCCGTCGTATTGGCCAATGGCGACGAATTCTCTCCCGTCTGCCGAAGTCCAACCCCAGGAAGATGAACCTCTTCCGCCCCAGCTGCCAAGCTGCTCGTGAGACAAGAAGTGGTACAGATCGATCTGAAGGGTATTAGTTGAGCCTTCGAGAGGAGTTTGGTAAACTCACATTTCTGCATCTGAAGGTGTTATTGAAGTCTCCGGGGACTGCGGCAGCGAAGCCGTCAACGCAAGGAGTGTAGCCAAGCTCGGGGTACTTGGCACTGTCCATGAGGCCGGCGGCAGCTTCCTCTTCCCATTGAGCCTATTATGTTATTAGAAACTTTTGATCAATACGAGAGGTGATTGTGGGACACAACTCACCATCTTGATGCCCATGATGCGATGGTGAACGGCACCGGACGCATACTCAGCCTTGGCACCAGCGCCAGCTGCGCTGGCCAAACCAACAATGGCAGAGCCCAAAAGGGCTGCAGAGTTGATGCGAACCATGTTGACAGTCTTTTTGTAAAGTGACTCAGCCTAAGAGTACCACTACTTGACACAGACTTGCCGATGAGACTGGGAGTGCTCCGAGCTTCCCCAAGGCAGAGTAGCCACTCGATCTATAAGTACTCGACATCCTCAATTGAGTTCGTCATCATCCAAGACCAACTGATAAGACGGCCTTTCTTGTCCCCCGCATGGCAGACGTTGGTGTGGAGAATGCCATGGCAGTCGTGATTTTAGAGGAGGCTGGCGAAATCCAGGCACGCGGCCTTACATCTCGCCCATCGAACCCGAGCGGAGGGAAGCACCAAAGGTTGACCGATACTACCGTAAAAGCTTGGCCAATATGAGAGTACATGATAAGCAGAGCTTGGTTCCATACGATAGGGACCAAGCTGACCTTGGCGGTCTTGGCGACCCCCAGCCGCCTAAGCTTCGTAGGCGTGCGCAGCAACTGTCAATTTGGTCCAAGAAGCTCGCCGAGCACCTAGTTCCTCGAGCTGTCTGCTTCTGGAAGGTGATTGAAGGCTTGGCTACTTACGGTGATAGGCAGGTGCGTGATATTGGAACTCTGACATGACCGAGTAGTTGGGTCAGTTGATTAGGTTTGAAAGGCGGGGAACTCTTGAGGCTGTTGATGAGCGATTTTTTGGGTGGCAAGTGTGTGGACGCCGCGATTATGCTTCTTGTCTCACTGCATAGGAACTTTGGGATTCTGAAATCCTTCACGGATTGGTAATAGTCTTGCACAAGAAGCTTCTCTTGATAGGCCCCTCTCGCCTCCTTTAGGTAATATCTGTTTGCCTTATAGCCATGCCCGTATTAGTTCGCCACTGCATCGTCAAGAACTTTTGAAACTCTAACACATGAAAATAGGGTTGAACTATCAGAGTAGTCAATTATTTCGCTGTTTCTGAGTGGGGAATTGATGGGTACTGCCTGCCGAGCATCTTACAGACTGTAACGAAGACTCGGGTCGCTTACTAGTAAGGGTAAGTAAGAGAGGAACCATAGTAGCCTTCTAAGTAATGTTGACATTATATTAGATCAAGATCCCATGTACCCAGCGCCTCAGCTTAACTTATGATAAGGCGCAGTGGGTTTTGTTTTAGAATTCAGTGGCTACCAGATTGTGTGTCGTGCAACGTATTTCGAATTTACTAGGCTCTCCAATCAAGCGATTCTATTGCCATTCTTTACTTATAGAAACAACTGCTTCAAGACTCAAGAAGCCCCTTTCGCAAGATCGTCTTTGCTTTCTCTGGGGTTCTCACCGCAATCTTCTGTCTTTTCTGAGTGAAATTTATCGCACCATATCGCAACAAGCCTCCAAATGTGCCTGGTTGGCAATCTGCGCCTGGTCTATCATCCCATACACTTCCAGGTTGTAGAGAGTTTACGAGGCCTGACCCTCGGGATATCTTTTGCATGCTTGTCTCAGAAAGCAGTGTCCACACTAACTTGGAGGCCTCTTTGTGACACTCTGACTCTGGGTCAGTGTCAAGACCGAGCGCTAACAACTCATAGAGATGCTCCCCGAAGTTCTCCCCGCCGATGAGAGTCTTCGCAGCCCAGTGCTCCTGTAGCACGTCGATGGCGAGGACATGCGACATCCAGTACTCAGATGCATTGAAAGAATCGTCGTCGCTCCCCTCGACCATGCATACTCGTGCCCAGCATGCATTCTGGGCGACATAATCCAGGAGCTCCTCAAAAGAGACCTTGAAGTCCCACTTGAAGCCCTTGCTCTTGGATTCAGAGAGGGAAAAGTTTTCTTTCACGTGGCTTAACAGTGGATGAGAGTTTATACCCTCACTAGTCTCACGGTCTTCCCAAAGATGGATAAAAAGGTCATGCCTGGCGTGGTCAGCATACAAGATATGATCAAGAGATTTGATTCCGCTTCTTGATATACCGTCATGCAGTAGAAGTGCACTTACCATCTTTTGATAAACGGGTTGGTTTTTCTCGACGCGAGAAAATGATTTGCCAAATACTGCGCAAATTGAATTGGCGCGGCGATCTCGTATGGTGACTCAGGATCTTCCAAGACAGACCACAAACCACGATCCAAGTCACGGAGAAGAATGCATCCAACATCCATTTTGACACCGCCGTAAGTGTACAATAGGGCCCCAGTGATCATGTCAGATGAATGCTGCCCGACATGCTTTCCAGTCATGGTACCCTCGATAAAGCATTTGGGAAGCATCTCTTTTGGTGCGAACTCCAAGGCATGATTAGGCGATCCTGGGACGTTGTCAAGAACGCGGATAGTCCAGTTTGGACCGCAGATGCGAACCCAATCAATCACGTTGCGCCTACACCACGATGGTAGTTGATCAATTCCGCCATCCCAGTATGCCCATACGTTCTTCTCGCCTACAACAGGTACGTGGCGGCGTAGAGATCCAAAGATCTCGTCGTCCGATCGCTGGTCGTGAGTAGTAATGACCTCCAATTTGTCTTTGAAGGCTGGCGGTATCGCATATTGAAGCATGATGTTGGTCATCTAAGTATACGGCTATGAGAATGATGGGCAGGTAAAGTAGGTAGTTGGGTTCGACGCTGTCACCAAGTGGAAGCGATGCTGGGTGCATTTGGATACCGATACAAGTGAACGCTGGGTCCGCGCGTGCGAATAAGCACTACTTTAGCGCTGATGTTTACTTCGAGCCGTTGCTTTCGATCGTCTGGCGTCTCTCAGCTGAGGAGCTTGGCGGGAGGATGTCACTCTGAGCTCCGAGACATCTCGGATCAAATGATGTCAGATAAGGTAAGGTACCAAGCTAGGAAAGATAATCAAGAGAAGCCAGACTGGCAGTCCATGCCTTGCGATATGTCTTCACTACACATACCTATATGATTTCTCGTTCGCCGTGATTTATATCGTAGCTGAAAGCATTTTTACCTCGACTCCGCCATGAGACAAGATATTCCCGTGGATGTCATCGGCCTTGGGCGTAGGTGAGGAATGAGCGACATTCCGCCGATTTTCGAGAACACGCCATATTACGTCGCTGCTTGTATGGACCTCACTGAGGTAGAAGAAGAGTACTGCTACAGCCCTCACAACCTCGCTGTCATCCTGTCTAAGACCTCGGGCTCTCCTGATTGGCATCGCTGTTGACCCATCTTACACGCAACCTGTAGAGAGTGTCTGAAACGAGTACGTGGACAAAGTTTTGAAGCTCGAGAATATGATTCGAAAGTATGGCAGGAAAACGTTGGCGTCTCGGTAGGTACCTATTCTTCCAAACGATACTGGCATGATCGCTCATAAATGAAGCTTCCCAGGACACATTTTGTCGACCCTCGAAAACCCGAGACCTGGTCGAAAGTCAGGAGTACGTGGCAGAAGGAGATGTTTCGTCAGCTGGATGAGGCGTTTCTACCCAAGTGAGCTAGCCAGACACAAATGATATTTAGATGAGGCGAGTTGGCTATCAATCACGGATTGAACTGCATCCAACACAATTTCATTTTCACAGAGTTCTTAACTGTCAGGTACATGACGCACTGAGGAATGTGTCGTTGCAACTTATCCACGGCATCCTCATGGCCACTGTTCAGATCACTTGGCAGCAAATCGTTCCGCCGACTGGAGGGCTGATCACTACTCAGGATTATGTACTTCTCAATAGATTAGATCAATCGCGTCGCTCGTCCCAATGAATGAATGGGGATCCAAGAGAGAGGACTCATAACATCATCTAGCAAAAGAAACTCGCAACCTCTAGAAGATCTTCTTGTGATCTCATCCTTTCTCTTGGTGATGTCAGAGCGACTTCAGCTGGATTTTGTCAGCCTACTTGCTTACTCGTTTTTGACATAAATCACCTCAATGGGACAGTTTTGTCCGAAACCGGGTGCCCCAAGTCCAAGCGGCGAATGTGGGTGGGAGCACAGAGCACTCTTGACCTGTGCCGAATCATTCGCAGAGCCTCAAGTAAGATTGATCGACGGTAGGATTGTTTTAGCTTTGCAGGTTGACGAGAAGGCGGGGACTATTCTTTTTGCCCTTTGCCCTTACATTAGTTTGTTGAGTGGCTGCTGATTTCTTTTGGTTGTAAGGCTTAGCTTGAGCACATACCTAAGCTTATTGTTCGTCTAACTAGAAGGTTCTCACCGGACCCGACCTCCATCGCGTTTCTCGGACGCCGTCTCGGTGTTCAACATCGCCTGCCTAGGGGTCTCCTTGACCGAAGTCCTGCGTTCCCGTGTTGGGTCGCCGGAATTCTAAGACGGATATTTCTCCACTTCGAAGAGCTGCTTTCGTGCTGGTCTAGACTTTCGCAGCGGCTGCTTGCCTTTTCTCCCCCATTCTCTTCTGATTCCCTCCCGCTGTCTCCCAACCTCCGATCAAACCATGGTGCGGGGCACGAATCGCGTGATCAGATTAGGACCGCCTCGGTTTGCAGACCTGAACTCAAACGGGTAGGAGAGTCAGTGGAATCTCCCGCAGATGCCCGAATAGGACAACACGAAAATTACATATCAACCTGTCAGCTTTGAGGATGCAAGAGATGATAGTTTCTGTCGACCGCACTTTTGATTGTGCAACGCAGTGCATGTACGCAAGCAGGGTTGCTTGTCAGCGTCGGTAGCGTATCTACCGGTAACCCCATCGAGGGTGCCCGTCATGAGATCACTCAGATCTTGAGCTCCGACCAAGATCATAGCATCTGTGTGGTTTCCAATTCCGAGCCGTCAGAAGGGCCTAGTAGCCCACCATCTGCGGCCGATAGATGAGCTCCGGTAGCGGTGTCTCAAAGTTTTGTAAAGAAGAAGGAACGTGAGATGCGATAGGCGAGAGTGATTACAGAGACCTTGATCATCATCTGTTCTTACAGTCATTGCATCGGATGGCCAGCTTGGGCCAAGGGTCCAACGACCTCCAGGCGACGGCTCAATGACTTCACCGAACCCGAGGAGGTGGATGTGATGGGGGGCAAAAAAAGCCCGATGATGGAGGCTTTCTCCCACTGATCCCTCATTTGATCAAGCCCATGAACTCCAATTGCGCGAAATCACGGGCGGGGAACCTTGACGGCGGTCTAGACAATGGAAGACTAATAGGGTCCCCCTCTTTCAGCCGATGCATGACAGAAGCTACCCATCGTCTGGTGGCAGTTTCTTTCCATGGTGACGTAGAGTTGAAAGGGGAGATTGAGGGTGCACCCAGGACCTCACGAACGTTGCATAGCGAAAGCGACATCCCTATTTCATCACATCCCACCACTGGCCACCCTCTTCATTCAAGAATGGAGGGTAGCATGGGAAGTAAAGCCCCCGTCCATCCCGAAGGAAGGTGCTGGGCATTTATTCGCGGCTCTTGTTGTCGAGGCATCCGTATGTTATATGTAATATAGGATCAGCAGATAGGTTGACGAAGTCTTCCCCTGTAGGTGACGACTTTAAAAGTATAAGTTGCGAGTCTACTCGGAAACATCAAGTGTCTGATTGGTCAAACATGTAAGATGGTGTCCAGAGTCTCCCACCCAACCGTGTTTCATGAGGGGGGTCTCAGCACCAGTTCGCGGGGAGCCCATAGTTCCCCACGGGGCCCCCAACTTGTATGCTTGTATGGGTTCAAGGGCATGGCTTCGATGAGAAACTTTGTGGTTACAGACTGAACCCCGCGTGGCATCATGCTCGACCCTTGCTTCTGCCCAGAGATTTGGGATTCCCGCCGGCGCGATGGCCCGTCGCAAAGTCGCCGATTCTATGAATTTCGGCTCTTTGGTCAATTTGGGGTCAGGCTGGTCGTTACCTCATCTACCCTTAGCCCTGTTCGTCTATCAAGACCCGTTCATATTGTAGCTGAATCTGCCTCGGCGTCACGGCTCGTGAAAGTCTCATTCCGAGTATTTACGTGATGGCTTATCCCACGATCTTATCCGCCATGTCCGAGCCAAAAATCCCAAAGCAGACAATTACCTATCACGAGATTGTGCCATCATTTTCTAAGCAACTCTGCCCCATTCGTTTACTTTCCGACTTATCCCAAATCGCCTATCAATATGAGGCTCTACATTCTCCTATCATTCCTCCTCTGCCTTGGCGTGGCCAGTGCCCAGATGGCGATGCCAATAACAGAGGCAAAAGGCCGCGGCGGCAGAGACAAAGACAAAGGGAAGGGAGGCAAAGGTGACAATCAGCCTGTCAGAGGAGGAGCTGCTGCCCTCCAAAACCAGATCGCAGATCTTCGAAAGCGGGTTGCCGAAGCCAATGATACAGTTGTCCCCTTCGAGGGAGGCACACTCAAAGGCTTGGTGGGGCTGCTGAAAGTAAACGAGGCGATTGTCACCCTTGGAAGTACCATCGATGTCAGCACAAAGTCCGCAGAGGCCACCAACACCCTGCCGGCAAACGAATCGTAAGCCGCTGTTTCTTGAAATTCTCCGACGGGAAACTGGAATGTCTGTGCTAACCCTGTCACTTGTAGGACCCAGATCGGCACACAGTTCCTTAGTCTCCAGCCGGAGATCAACAACTTGTTGACTGAGGTCCAGGGTAAGCGTCCAGAGTTCGACAAGGCTGGCTTCAGAATCTTGGACGTGAGAAGTCTTATTCGCGACTCTGTGGTTATTCAAAAGGACAAGGCCGGAGATTTGGGTGGTGCAGTAAGTTAAACGTCTTCTGTGATCCAGAGGAGCGCCTGTCTGACTCTTGCCTAGTTTACCAAAGCGCTTGATCCAACTTTCCAACCCATCGCTACCCAGATTAGCGACCAGATTCAGGGCAACTTCACAGCCGCCATCGACGAGTACGATGGTCGTGCTGGGAAGATCAAGATCCCATCCAAGGCCGTGCCTGTGCTCACTGATCTTCTTGCCGGAGTGGCAAGAGCCCTTGGTGTCGGCGACAGAAACAAGGCTCTTGCGGGTCCTGTCACCGAAGCTGAAGCTGCAGCTATTCCGATCACCAACTTTCCCAACGCGGAAGCTGCCTTTGCGGATATCAGTGCCGCTGATACACCCGAAGCAAATATCGCTGCTCAAGAAGCCCTCAGGGGAAATGATGACTTTTCCAGACTTGGCCCCGATGAGAACGATCTACGGGGCATTCCGCCCCTGGTACTTGCTGTTCTGCGCAGATATGAAATTATCTAGAGAGGCGACACGGATGTGTTGAAGCGATGGTGTTTTTCTTGGCTGCTTTAGCTGCAATTTTGCGGCGACGATTACAGTTCTCAAGTGCGCAATGATGAACGCAGTAATGAATCTACGAACCTTCTAGTTCTTAGTTAATACCCTAAGATGAACATACGGGTTGATCTATGTAATATTATGTTTTGAAACACTCCATAAGTCGTGCTGTTATCCAGTCCATTGCAAATATAATCTTACAGCTCCTGTTCATCAGAGGTGGAGCTCCCACCAAACGTCTAACTAAAGGCAACAAGGGCTTGAAGGAGATCAATACCCTATCGCTAATGCGATGCAATGAACCTGCTTGGCCTGCGACTCTCGGCGAGAATCCGCTATTTTCGAACTCTCGGAAACCCCGCGCGCGCCGGCGCCGAGCTCATTATCACCGACGTTATTGAGTCGGACGGCATAAGAGTTTGCTAATCCAGGAACAAACGAGTTTAGTTTGAGCTGCCCCTCACGCGGGGCACTTCCGATGACGGGCCAGTCAGCAATGCCGGGCGAATTTTGCATTTTGAGTTCGGTCCACCTGACCCTCCTTCAACTTCCTACATCTAGGTAGTCTTGGTAGTCTCCGAAAATGCGGAAGCAACCTGAGCTAGGCCACGTTTAGCCAATGAATTGAGGTTACCATCTTGGCTTGCTGACGGTGCCGATGGAGCACAGTCTCGGATGAAAAAGAGGGGAAATACCCAAGGAGGAGGCTGAAAGAGACAGGCCAAGAAGAAGAAAAGAAAAGGAGTGTGTCCCTCACGCGGATGGGCTTGGACTCGAATGTGACCATGACGTTGTCCATCCCACCCACCACAACCGATTCGTCTGAAACTTCCTTATGTAGTGCCGGTGGTCCGGTTTAGAATTTTCTTCACCGCTCTCTTAACACAACGAGTTCTTTACGCGGCATAGATGTTGACATCAGTCATCGATCGGCCTTCGGTGTCCGTTCACCCAACCCATCTGATATACTTGCGCTGCCCCAGCTGTCCTAACGCGGAGTGCATAAAGAAAGAGGGAGAAGCCGCGTTTATCCGTGCGATCAGGCAGACCCCAGCCTCGAATACCACGCAGTGACAACATTAACGCATGTAATTATCCCATCGGGGACTGGGCAAAAGGTTACGCATCAAACACCGAATTCACGTAAATGGCCGAAGGCGAGGGTATCGGGTCGGCTTGGAAGATAATCCCGTCGCTTAGCTCGCGGGATATCGCTGCCACAGTCGACTTCTATACGAGCGAGCTGGGGTTCACCCTGGGCGGAACCAAGCCCGAGAATGGTAATGACTCTCCGCTCTACTTTTGCTCCGTCTACACAGGAAATGAGGCTGCTGCCAACATCTACTTCTTCCTGTGCGAACCAAACGAGTTCCATCCTGGAGGAGTAATGATCGCTTTGGGCACGGCAGGTCTGGACCAGTTCCACGACCTTTTATTGTCCAAGGGAAAAGTCGAAGTTGTCGAAGCTATCCGAGATACGCCTTGGGGTTACCGTCAATTCACTATTAAGGATAACGATGGCAATCGTCTGACATTCTTCAAGTTCCTGGAAGGGGGAAATCCAGGAACCGACTGATTTCACAGTGTTATGCACATCGACTTAGGCTGCCTGACTGGACATCGTAATTGAATTTTGATATTTTGCGGGATGTACCACGTAACGGGAGTTTATTGGGTACAATAATATTATACGTCAAGAGGGATGTCCATACAACGGATCCGAGGAAATCGGGAAGTCCTGCTGAGATGTCGATTGGTCCATGTTGTTCTGAGCGCTCATAGTGTGGAAGAACATGGGATCCAGGTCGGGGAGCCAGCCTTCGAAGAGATTCATCACGTCAGTTCCGACGAGCGGACTGGGGACAACCGCGGGTGCTTCGATATCCATACGTCCCGTCATAGTCGAGTTAGAGGCCAAGTTCATCTGTAATATTTCCGTTAATGCTACATCGCCCCCGTGAAGTACCGCTCGCTGACAGTATCCAGTGATAGGTTTACTTACAGTCGAGAAGTCCGTGTGAATGTCCGTTGAAGCGACGTCATAATTGGGTTGCTGGGGCAGTGACCATTGAGGCTGTGTAGTGAGTGCCTCGAATGCTTCAGATGGCGCATGTGGTGTCAGGCCGGTTGGACTCCGTCCGTTGACCTCGTTCACATAACTTCGAGCGATCTGTGCAAACTCGCCAACCATGGATCCTGGTATCGCACCATTCGAGATCATTTCCATTCGGCTGCAGTGGCCCTTTACCACGTCAAGCAACGCCAAGTTGGTTGCTGTATGAATTTGCCGAGGATTATGGATGACGAGATCGAATAAGACAAAAAAGGCCATGATGGGAATTGTTGCCATCATCCTGTAACGACCTATGTTATTCAAGGCACACTGGGATCGGAAGTGCGACTTACCACATGGGGGTGTAGGGCGACATGTCTATTATCGAGATCAATTCCAGCAAGGAACGAGCACTGTGCTCTACAGTGTTCAGAGTTTCATCTCGGCGAGAACAGTCTGGAGAGTTTTCTGACACTGGCAAGTACCTCAAAGCCATTCGAGAAATCGTCAGGAGGAAACTGTAGTAGAGAAAATGAGTGACTAGAGCAACTGTACGCTCTTGGTCTTCAATGATTGAGTGAGGTTTGACCCAGCCGGCTGGCCTGAAGCCGTTATCCGGCAGTGAGTTTCTCCAATCTTCGAGCTCGTCCAGAAGCTGATCGATGATGTCTAGGTGGTACTCCCCGGGGTTGTCAGATACGCCAACAGAGAAGAGTGATGTGTTTGCCCGGGATAGCAGACGCGCGTGGCTGACGAAACATAAAAACCAATCGAAGCCGCCAGAGAAGAAGGATTCGGGTGTGGATGGAACGGAGCAGGATATATCGCAGTCCATGATTGCCTTTTCGGGGATGTCAGTCGGAAGAGACAAAATAGTCAGTCAGGGGATTGAGCTCACAGATGATCTACCATGATGGAAGCTATTGATCTTTTCCAAAGAGTAAAACACCCAAAAAGTCCGCCGAAATGCGTCTGCTGCGGCTCCGACAAACTTGGCGTCGGCGAGATTCTGTGCTCGCCGGGCAGCTTCTGACATGAGGACGTGCTCCAGCACAATCCCAGCAATACCAAGCGAGTATATCATCATTGCTACTACAGCTTGGAAAGTTGTAAGAGTGTCTGGTAGCATGATCAAATCGGCAAAGTTGGCTAGAGCGATTGAGAAGAACTTCCATGCATCACCTTCCCCAGGCTCAAAAGACCCACCACCGTCGTATTGACAACCAAGAGCAAGAACGGAATGATAGAGACATATCCATGACTTGCTTTTGGGCGCAGAGTGAGGTTGATCCTGACTAAAAGCAGTCCTCTCGAATGCGTCGCGGTCGAGGAACGGGAACCGAGGGTGTACTTGCTCAAAATATACTGCTTATGATAAGCTCATTGCAAAATAACAGCCAAGAAGAGTGGGAGAAGAAGATTACTCACATTTGACATACTTTGCGAGAAGGGCTTTGTCGTCAAGGCAGGCCGGGCGCTCAGGTCGACGATTCAAACTACAAGCACGGAGTTTGACGAACCTCCCGCGTTCCTCAACAGCGCTTGCAATTCGCCCGACCAGATCGTGGACTTTCTCATGGCCGAGGCATTGTGCGAGGGATTTCAATCTCCCTTCAGAAAAGAAGGTCAAATTCTTCGTACCGCCTATGACTTACTGGTCAGGGCGTCATTGGGTACGTGAGATGGTAGGGTGAGATATGGAACTTCCCCTTAGAAGTACATTACACTTACCAAAAATACCATAACCCTTTTCGGAGTGAGCAGAAGTTCAAGAAAGTGGGGCTATCAATGTGGGCTTACTTTGACATAGTTGGAGGCCTCGGAAGGCCTGGTTGATCTCGGAGCTTTACGAGCTCTATCGAGTACTCGATCCACGTAGAGTTCCGGAATCCGGTGCGGGGCGGGCCGTCCGGGATTTGGATCGGGAGTGGATGATTTCTCCGAGATTGTCGGATCCGGCGACTTAGATGCCGGTGTTGGCAGTGTTGCGAAGTCTAAAACCGATACGGTGCACCCTTGTTGTATCTCATCAGGCGTGCCGGAAGACCGGCTCGTAGGGAAGAATTGTCTTTGAACTAATCGTCCGTAAGATTGTTAATGAGTCCTCAAGAGCCCCGAAGACATAAAATCGATATTGCCTTGGACATGGCAACGAAAGGGTACGTACTGTTTGGCCTGCGGGCCAGTTTCCTCACGCCGAAAACGCACTCGCTCTTCCTTCTCTGCGGAAATTGTGTCAGTACAGGCGTCGAAAGAGGTCGCGAGAATTATGCCGATAGGTGCTAAATATTACCGTGCAATTGGTACAAGTTCCAGATGACCCTGGGCCTAATTTGGTGATTAGCTATCATTCCATTGAGATATCTGCACATGTCGACGCAGCATCAAGCACGCCTACCTGGACATCGGACTTTGCGCGACGTGCATGCATCGCACGACTTGTGGGTTCTAGAGCTTGAGGCGTTACTGGGCATATTCGGTAAAGTCGTCGTCCAATACGGGCTGGATTTCCGAAAGAAGACGAAAGTAGAAAGAAGGAAGCCGAAAATTTGTAAAATCTCGGGGCCGTCGTGAGACGTCATGGCAAAGACGAGTCGAACGGCCACGCAGACACGGCCCGTGCTAGTCGGCGTCGGGTCCGGTTTTCCTGATTAGGTAACCGTTACCGAGGCCTCGGGATCTTATAAGAGGCGGCGCCGAGTGACGCCATGCCGCTCAATTGTAGTTTATCACTGTTTGCCTTATGAAGGTTTCTCGAAGAAGCTTAAAGGGGAGCAATTAGTATAATGCCATGTGTTCAGCCCACAAGATCTGACAACCGTCGTCAATTGTCCAAGTGTAATATGCGAGCGTTAGCATTGATACTCTCGCACCTGGCCACCTCAATTGCCTCACTCAATCACAACTAAACCGAGGGCGGTCGGGTCAAATTTTCAATTTTATCACAAATGAAAACTTTGGATCTCTTGGTAAAGAAATGCATCAAGCCTCTTGGCGAGACACGGTCCACTGCGTTTCTACCTGTATCACTTTATCTCTGCCCAAAAGCTCTTGTTCAGGGGTCAGGCGTGACTCGAAGTCATCCCCACTATCATCGTTCTTTCCGTTACGTCCGAACGAAGCAACCTCAGACCGATAGCGTACATCGTTTTCCGGGGAGTATATGGTAGCCAAAACGATAGTACCAGGTGCGCTTGGGTGCGATCGTCTCAACTTATTCGAATTGTTGTAGCCGCTGGCGTCCGAAGGCCCGTCTAGCTTTGAAGCACCCCGCCGAGCTGTGCACCGCGAGTACAGTGATCCCAGCATCGGCATGCTAACACAGATGATACCCAAATTCGGCTCCACGGTCGACCAAAAGTCGGCCCATATCATTGTTTCAGTCAAGTTCTGGAGATCGAGGTTGGTGAGGCTAACGATGCGGATGATGGCAACTACGCTGACTCTGTTTCGTTTTCTTGTTAGCCTACAGCCAAAGGGGAGGAATACAAGGGCAGCCATACATCAAGCCTGTTGAGAAGACGGCGATGATACCAAGTTTGGCCGGCGTACTCATTTTGAGTGCCCAGACAGTCGATATCGGCAATGTCAAAATCATGATGTCTGTAATGACATTGAAAGCACCGATGGCGATGAACGATGCTATCTGATTTCCACACTTGCCCGTGACAGCTGGATTATATGTTGCCTCGAATGGATGGCAAATCAAGAAGACCTGGAGGATGTTGGCCGTTGTCCAGACCATGACAAAGCCCATGGCGAATTTTGTCGCGGTTCGGAGTCCTGGGTTGACAAAGACGCGAAGGTAGAAAAACATGACGCTGAGTTTGATGGTGCTGATACAGGTCGCGAATATGAACTCGTAGGCAACTAGAAGTTTGAGGATGATGACGATGTTTGGAAGGGTGTCTGTGATCGGGTAACCGATACCCATGGGCGACCCTGATTGCAGATTCGTCAGGTTCATTCAGAACTATGTTCCTCGTTTTGGGGCCGAGTACTCACACAAGCCTTGGATTACTAACATCCCGATGCCCTGAGGCACTGCAAGGAGAATGAGGAGATCATCCCACCACAGCTTAGCCCCCGAAGAGAAGCGTGCGAAGAAACGGAGCGTGACTATAAGAACTGCGAAGAGAACCAATACGCAGTTCACGAGAAGATGAGCCTTGACTATCGGCAAGGTTGGAAAGCTGACAGCATGGGACGCCATAATAGCGGGCAGTAGCGAGAACTACCCAGAAAGGCGTTGTCTACATCTCGCCTCAAAGAGATTGAAGGAAAAATTGTCGAGCGCGATCATTCGGATTTGGACAAAATCCAAAATAAAACAAAGAGATCAACCCATCATCTCATTTTGGATTCTGAAGATATCCTGCTGTTAAACATGCTAGACACGAACGCTTGAAGCTCGCTAGAGCCCCTGCTTGTTTTACTCGTGCCCGCGGATCACTGGTGTTGGTCCTGTCACTGTGAGGCGGCCTAACACGGAAACGAGTACCTCCGCATCACAGCAAGCGGAAATTGCCATGCTCGTATGCGGCACAGCTGCCCAACATCCGCTGATCTTACGTTCACGCTAGGCTCAGGTTAGCCCGAATCTTCAGCAACTCTGCCAAGCCGACCGAAATAATGCAGCCGCTGGAGACCGCAAGACGGAACGGGTTGAACTTTGTTATTGCCGCCGAAAGAGTCTAGGCCTTGACAGTGAGAGGTAATGCCAGGAATTTGGCGTCTCCTTGTGACTATTCGAAGTTTAACGAGGCCGACTACTGCAGCTAGCGTAACTTGACACTTCATTAATACTGGCCACAGGAAAATGGCCCAGCTGATTGCGCACAATGTTCAAGCTCCCAGGCGCTTGCCAGCGAGAGGACAATACTTAGTCAATCAATCCAGCAACAATTAACTCCTCCATCATGACCGCTTCACTACGGACCGAGGCCAATGTATGCATTCTTCAAGAATTGCCCTCTGCACCGTTGGTTGGGACTGTTGGCACAGCACGCATGGTACGATAGATGTTGCTAGCGCTGTAGCTTTCGGAATGCCTGCAGCAAATCCCCTGCAGTGATCCACTGACTTGCGCCATCCACACAAAAGTTCTGCGCCGATCCGTATCTGTCAAATGAGTGTGCGGCGCGGGGAGTTTCGCCGCGGGACGAGATCCGTGGTGCCGTCCCTAGCTCCAACCGTTAGATGGACTTTGGTTGCGCGGGACATCATCCATTTTTGGTTTCACTGACAAGCCCATGGTCAGCAAGGTGAAATTTGTTCGGCAATGCGCACTGGTAACAACGCATCTTGAATGCCTCTATAAACCAAAGTGAAAGGTGCCTGAATCCTCGGAACCGCACACGTAACAGAACTGCTACTTCGACCTTGTCAAATTGAGGATACAAATGTGAACTTGCGGAAGGCTACAGACATAGGGAGCAGGCTAGGTACATGCATCCCCATATCCACTTGTCCAAGCCTGTGTCAGTGGATAGACATGACTTCCAGTTGTTAATGGTTCGCAAAGTGAAACTCGCTTTCGGTCTGCGAGTAGAAAGAAAACCGATGTGCTGTGCCTTTTCGAATAAGGTCGCTCAGAGCTCATGAGCTGTTCGCCCGGAAATAAAGAAAGCGTGATGAACTCAGGCCCTGTCGTGTTGGTATTCTCTCCCAAAGACAACCAACGAATGCAACCAAAGACTGCGATAGTGGATTCTGGCCAGGGCATTGCGGACTATCCTACCAGCAGAGGCTAGATTCATGCAGTTGGCTGAATGTGTGCCTACTTGCTTACTGTGGAGTGTTGATGGCCATCCATCCTAGCATCGGACACCAGGCAAAGTCACGTCAGTTGAGATAAGAAACCCCCCTTGTGCAAGCTGAAGTTAAAGTCTTTCTCCCTTTGTAATCTTGACTACAGTCGCCAAAAACTCAGAAGAAATACCATGTCTTCATTCCAAGATCTCGATTCTTCTTTCGACTACATTGTTGTAGGTGGTGGAACAGCGGGTCTAGTTGTGGCTTCGCGCCTTAGCGAAGATAACGGCACTCGTGTTCTAGTTGTTGAAGCTGGTGCCGACAAGAGCGCGGACCCTTTGGTCTTGACGCCTGGCTTAGTGGCAGGCGTCTATGGAAAGGATGAATATGACTGGAATTTCACCTCAGTGCCTCAGGTGAGCCAACCCCTTTATCGGCCGACTGCAATCATCTGACCTTGGCTAGCCTGGTTTGAACGACCGAAGAATTAACCAAGCACGAGGCAAAATGCTTGGAGGCAGCTCTGCCTTAAACTTCATGTTGATGCTGTATCCATCAAGGGGAGTTTTAGATGCCTGGGGTGCGCTGGGCAACGCCGGCTGGAGTTTCGACGAGCTCGCGCCTTATTTCCGCAAGTTTGGCACTGATCATCCTCCTCCCCAGTCCGCAAAGGACATAGTTGGGCTGGACTACCACGATCAAACTTTGAGCGGAAAAGGCCCAATTCAGGTCTCCTTTGGCGAAGGCTACAGCTCTATGAACGCTGCGTGGATGAGCACATTCGATAAGCTTGGCCTTGGCGTGACTGGTGATCCTCGGAGTGGGAAGGCCTATGGTGCTTTTCAGAACCCGTGCAGCATTGATCCGCAGAACAAGACGAGAAGCTTCGCGGCGAGCGCTTATTACACACCGGAAGTGGCTGCACGACCAAACCTGGTAGTCTTGACCGAGACACAGGTCAGGAAAGTCATCTTTGATACTGCCGGAGACGGTGTATCTGCGACTGGCGTTCTCATTGTCAGCAAGGCCGGCGAGGAGAAGATAATCGAGGCGAAAGGGGAAGTGATCCTTGCTGCAGGAACTCTCCAAACACCTCAGCTATTGGAGCTGTCTGGCGTTGGTGGGAGAGACTTGCTCGAGAGCCACGGCATTCCTGTGGTGATTGATAATTCCAATGTTGGAGAGAACTTGCAGGATCACCCGATTGTCTGCCAAAGCTTTGAGGTCAATGAAGGAGTGCCGTCAGCGGATGTTCTCCGAGACGGAAACATCCTCAACGCTGTTGTCGGCCAGTATATGGCCACGCGTGAGGGCCCACTGGGCCAGAGCACAATTAGCGCTGCTTACACGCCTCTCGCCGACCACAACGGGCTGTTGTCAGGAGACGCAAAGAAATCTCTTCTGGCTACACATGGAAAGCATGCGAGCTCGCCGACTGGAAAGCTTGTGCGCTCTCTTATCGAGACATTGGACGAGCCAAGCAGCGAATACCTGCTTTTTCCTTCTCAAATCACGATTAATGATCATCCAGCCAACATGGCCGAGTACATTGTGCCTTCCAAGCCGGAGAATTACATCACTGTTATGACAGTGTTGAACCACCCGTTTTCACGGGGAACGGTCCACATTACTAGCCCTGATTTCAAAGCGTTGCCAACATGGGATCCGAAATACAACTCAAATCCCCTCGACCTGGAGCTTCTGGCCCGCAACGTTCAATTTGTCGAGCGAATCATAGGCACTGAACCTTTCAGCTCGCTACTCAAGCCTGGAGGGAAACGCTTGCCCGAGTTGATGGGCGACAACTTGGAGACTGCCAAGGAGATTGTGCGTCAAAGACAAATTTCGGTGTTCCATGTTTCAGGCAGTTGTGCCATGATGCCACGGGAGGATGGTGGCGTTGTTGACGAGCGATTGAGGCTCTATGGGGCGAAGAATCTTCGCATTGTCGATGCCAGTGTCTTCCCGATTGAGCCTTTAGGCAACATCCAGAGCACTGTTTATGCGGTTGCCGAAAGGGCAGCTGACATCATAAAAGAAGACATGATGACTGCTAGAGTCCAGGGGTAAGGGACGGGATGAAGAATTGGGGATGAGCTGCTGTCACAAATCATCGCAAGCTTACTCAGACAATTTTAATAATGTAGTACGGACCTTGCTCAGGATCAGATACGTAATGCATGTACTGTTAGATCGGATACATGTAGTGACATTAGGTAGTCATGCGAGAGACTGGACGAGCGTCCCAGATATCGCTATCGTCACTCTTGAGCATCAAACATACTGACAGTGAGTTCGAATCTCGGATGGCCTCAGCCGTAGTGTAGTAGGATCAGGGTCGGGAGAAGTGATCGAGTATGGCAAGATGCTTTAATTGTGGTCAACACCATCTACAATATCAAAACATGATTCAGTAATTCCAGCTATCCCAGCACCATCCTCGCTTGCTGCGTGGTCCCCCATGATGTTCTCTAAATCAAAACATATGCCAAATGGTACTAGATCAAAGACGATCTAGTGTGCAAGTTGTGGTAGATATCAAAGATTGCCGATCTTTCCGGTCAAAAAGTCAACTGCCTCGGGAACATGGCGTTCATAATCAAGGTGAGCAGGCGTGATCTCGAGAGTGCCAGTGCACACCTTATCGCCTTCATTACAAATAAGTTTCAGTTTGTCTTTGGGGAAGTTGGGAATCTGGCCCTTGTCCTGCTGATTTTGGGTGTCGCCATAGGTGACGACTCCCAAGATCTTGCTCTTGACTGCATCAGGGAGGTTCTCAATCGCGCGATGTGCAGTGGCAGCTCCTTGACTATAGAAGACTCCATTGTCAGTCTCAAGTCGTTGATATTGCATTAACCCGCAGAAACATGCATACCTATAGCCTCCAGCTACGACCTTTGACTTGTCGCACTTATTGGTAGCATCGGTCAAAAGCCGCTTCATCTCATCAACGCCGACGGGATCAGCTCCTCCGGGGAGGAAGTTGGTCGTGAGACCAGCGGCGTAATCAACTCCTTCTATCGCCACTTTGTTTTCGCCGTACTTTTTCTTCAGACCGTCTGAAGTCGGAGGTCCAACGGTCGACCCCTGGAAGATTTGACGTCAGTCATCTGATGTGTATATGCGTTTTCCCCTCATGCACATCGCGAATACGGTCTAGGCTTATCCGGACACGGGACTCCGAAGCGCGGCGGGGACTCACCATGTTTCCGACTTCCGTAGAACCCCGGGCGAAGATGAAGATGACATCACGGCAGCCTCCTTGCGTGTATTCTTTTGCTATTGTTCCGGTCTGGCGGCTCTGGAGTTGAACTGTGGTATCGACCTGGGCGCGGTGGATTAGGAGAATTGGACTACAGAGTGCGGTGGCAGTTAAAGTCAAGATAGTAATCTGAGTCTTCATCTTCTGATATATTGATGATAGCGGTGGTTAGATCTCGTGGAACATATGTAGGTGCAAAGAAAAAATGGCTAGAGTGTGCTGTTATTCGAGTTATGTACGCGGTGCCGTTGTGACTTTCATATTGATGGTGGTTAGCCTTGAAGGCCTGGATTTATATCTGAAATCAGTAGGTAGGTCATCCTCATCGATGGATCTGGAGGCTCGGTAAGTACTTTCGGCAAAGAAGGCGAATTCGATGTCTCATGTCTCGGCATAGGGACATACACCGATTGAGCTTTGAACGGAACTTACGATGCCCACGCATCATGAGGCCGGTGGGAGGGTGTCAGCGTCTCCAGGTCATGTCAACTGGGCTTCTCTCGTCACGTCATATTACCACCACACATTAGCGTTGCTCGGATCGCCTGGAAAGTTGTATTGTATCATCAGAAGGCCGTGGTGTTGCCAGAAATTACGACAAGACGGCGATTTGATGAAATGATTGACATCATGAATCGTTCTGCATCGGGACGTGAGTGTAACTAGCCTGTTACTGTATTCAAATCCTCTGACTTCGACAGGAATGAAGGGTCACCCTTGCAACGGACTCTCGGTTTGCTCAATGAGCGAACGTAATCGCATAGGGAGGACGTTCTGGGCCGAGACCTTTCTCGGAACACTACTAACATGGCATGAATTGTGACACTCGATTTAGGTCAGTAGTGTATGCTGCTTGCGATGACGTTAGTATCAACTCCTGATTAGTGGCTAACACCGCGCTAATCATGAGTTGATATCAACGCCAGGCGTGGCACCAATCCATGTCTAAAAAACGATACCCAAAAGGCAGATAGTCATGACATAAGGTAGGATATGACAACGGAGAATCAATATCATGACATATCATCATCGCCGTGGAAACCTTCTCAGTGGAGAACCAATACCCGGCCATTGGCCCATCTTTTGAGGCGGTAACGTTTGTTGAATGGGTCAAGCATAGACTCGCCTCTGAGCCGCTTGTTCGTGCCTACTAGCTTCCACTCAACTTTAAAGCCTCCACTTCAATACCCGACTTCTGGGTCGCAGCGCTTCCAAATTGAATCAGCACACAATCTCTGTTGATCCTGAAATCTACCAACAAGAAGCCATGCTTGGATGAGAGGATGAGGTGCCGCAACTGTGAAGGCGTTCCGACGTGTCCCTTTCTCATTAGTATAGGCCACCGCCGCGCCGCTGCGAAGAAGCATCTTGACAGCTTCCAACCTCTCAAAAGTACAAGCGGCCATCAAGGGGCTTCTTTGTCAGAGCTTCCCGCCGGGCACGGTTGGTACTCGGATCACAGAGATAGTCTAGCTGGCATGATGCCCATCGGAACCTGGAACTATTAAGTATCGCAAATTGGTGAGAGAGTGGAATTGAGCTCACATTCCTAGTGCTCCGTTGACAAGCTAATCCCGGATCTCTTCGGTAAATAGCGGATTATGGATGCTGAGATTGTGCGGTTGTCTTCTATGGGCCATCTCGGCACGGATGTAGATATCGAGGTCTTCTGTATGAGCCGCAATCTCGATATGAGCGAACTCAGCTGCGAACTCGTCTTTAATTTCCGGCTCGTCTCGGCTGAACACTGCAATGCTGGCGGATGACGATGCCTCGAAAAGGAATTTGATAGCTTCAGCTACTTCCGCCACGTTGTCTCCACGTTCGTCAAGCCCGTCCAAGTCAATGAAGACCTTTTCGTACACCGAGATGATGGTCAATATCAGATCAAGCAGATCTTTTGGCTCAGGTTCTGCATTGAGACCACTTGCCGATTACAACCCCGCGTGGTATTCCTCAAGAATGCCGAAAGCCTCGTGGTTCTGCTGGCCTAATTGGACGGCTATTGTGCTTAAGACGTTGAGAAGCTTCTGGCTGTCAATGTTTTTGTAATCACAATAGAAGAATGCTACGGCGACCGATTGTCTGCTTTTTTGTAGGGTTTTCTCAATGACCATGCTGGATAGAATCGTCTTCCCAGCTCCGGGGATTCTACTCAACCAAAGACCGGAGCGCGGGAGGTCAGCCCACTTCCAAAAAGTAGGATTACTCTCTGCGAGCCATAGTCCAGTCAGGGGTTGGCGTAATCGACTCGACGTTTGTAAGTTGACCTGAGGTTTGACCTTCATGAAATAGGTAGTCGATTATCTTTTGACGCTTTTCATCACACTCGATCCTGGTCTGAATGGCAGTTAGGCGCTCCACTTTCTGATTCAATGAACTGATGCTTCCAATGATGCTGTCTTGCTTTTCCAAATACTTCAACATACTCTCGAGAGTGTCTATAGACAGGGCCAGAGAAATAGTGCTTCGATGACCTTCAATTTGTGCAAGCAGGCCCTGTGTGTCATCAACGGAAAAAGGCCATTTCAGGCTGCGGTACACTGCTTCCCGTCTACTTTCCTCGTTGAATCCGGACAACGGCTTGTCGAGACGTTTTTCGACAGCGAGTGGAGTTTGCCGACAAGCGTGGAGATGATGTGCCTTGAATGCCGAAATAGAGGTCTCTTGTTCGAGTGACGACGCAAGGAGGGAAAGGTTCTGCAAAACCCCGGACAGATTTCTGGTTTGGTCAGCAAGATCTTTGACGGTCTTTCAGCTCCTTTGGCATCTTTTATGAACTTGGAGACCTGCTGGAAGACGGATGCGGATAGTTGGACTATACCAGCGATGCTGCCTGCGATGGAGAGAGGATCTGACATTGCGATGTTAAGTTCTGGAAATGGATTCGTTGACACGGAGGGGGGGGGGGGGGCATGAAGTTGTCGAGACCGACAACTTACACCTCAAGGGCGGGGGCATGGCGTGTTTGGCTATGGATACGGCCATTGGGTAGCAATGGGAGGGCACCGGGGCGCAGCTGGGCACGTTAATAGGTAAATCATGTTGCATGTAATCCCACTCGGCCTGCCTGCATGTCACCCCGCCACTCACTCATCATTTTGATTCGATTATGTTAGTATATTGCTGCTCAACAGCGACGAGTAGACGTTCCAATAACGTATTTATTCGATATGCAATTTGTGGACCTCTGGTTCTCTGCCCCTTTAGAGGCGCATGAGTGCAGACGTACATGGTAGTGTAAGATCAGTGTAACATCGTGAAGAAAGTAGGCTACATCGCATACTTGGCCATGTGCAAGGGTCATGCCCTCAGACTAACAAGCCCTAAAGCTTTGCATGCATGGCTTTGAGGTAATACAGGCTTGATTCACCACGAGAACAACTATGCGACCAGTGCTGATGCTTTCCACACCTATGAAATGCAACGGTTTGTGTTGATGTACCAAAAAGGGGCTGCCGTCGACGGCGCTGGACGGACTTTCGGTAGATAGACGGCATCAAGAATAGGTTAAACAGCCCCCAAAGACAGAGCGGCAATCTCAAGAGTCCGAATTCGTTCACAACCGCATATATAAAGGTGCATATATATACTGAAAGCAGAAGGTGGTGGATCATCACGAGTCAAAAAGATGAGTAATTCGGACTCCGTGTGTGGCTGCTTGCCTGATGTTGCACTAAATTTAAGTTGAAGTAATTTCCAGAATACGGGGTCCCGATCCACCCGCATCGCCATTCGGTCCTCGGCCGTGGAGCCGGCCATCGGGCAGCCCGGGGTGGCCCGTGTCTCTTTCCTGATCTGGATGTGTCCCCCGGTCAAAATCGGTCTTGCCGCCGATCAAGGCAGAAACATATCTAGAATCTGGATGCCCATTTGTTGCTGAATCCTGCAGATCACTTTGTCTAGTCCGTCCTTTCGCATCTAACTACCAGTCGTTCGTTTGTTCGTGTTGTTAGTTTTGCCTAGCCAAGATGCGCGTCACTCTTTTATCTTTCGCCCTTTTCACAACATCGGTTCTGTGTCAAGATGCCGATCATGCGTGGCAGACACCAGGATCGAACGATCGTGAGTAGAGAACTCAGCTAGCGGTCCGTAGGTGACATCACGACTAACCTCGGTAACATTCCTAGGCCGCGCCCCGTGCCCCCTCCTGAACAGTCTCGCAAACCACGGCTACCTCCCCCGAAACGGCCAAAACATCTCCGTCGACGCACTCATCGAAGGCATGCATACCGGGCTCAACCTCCGCGAGGACGCAAAACTCTTCTTCCGCCTCCAAGGGAATAAAGCTCTCGAGGCATCATCAACCGGAAACAAAGACACCTTCCACCTCAACGACTTGAACAAGCACAATCTTATTGAGCACGACGCGTCGTTGAGTCGAGCGGACATCTACTTTGGTGACAACTGGTCCTTCAACCAGACGATATTCGACGAGACCAAGTCATACTGGCCTTCAGAAACAATCTCCATCAGCGATGCCGCTAAGGCGCTCGTTGCAAGGCAGAAGAGTGCAGAGAAGATCAACCCAGAGTACAAGCTGCCACTTGACGGATACACCAACTCGTTGGGGCAAACGGCCATGTATCTTGGTCTCTTTGGGGACTATGACGATGGAAACGCCAACAGGGCCTGGGTTGAGTACTTCTTTGGTAAGTATAGCTTGCTATCGCTGAAGCCCTCGAGAAAGCTAACGTCAACTCCCACAGAGAACGAGAGACTGCCGTTCGAGCTTGGCTGGCAGAGGCGTTCGGATGACGACAAAATCCCTGCCACCGGCATACTGGCCCTTACTACGAAGGTTGCGGTTCACTATCTTGCAGCAAAGATTGGCCTATAAGAGGCCGCTTCATATTGCGAGGGTTCATAGAATAATTACAAACAAGCCATCTACTAGCTAGAATGGACGTCAAGTTCACAAAGTTACCGAAGCGAGGTCCGATTTGTGATCAAACATTCAGGATAAGGCTCGAACTCTAGGCGATCCGAAACCTTGAACCAGCTTCGGCGAATCATAACGAGGTTTACTATCCTACAAACCTCGGGCTCGGGATCTTGCGACATCAAGCGGAGAGCTTACCAAATTGATGCCCGAAATGTTCCCTACAGTGGAAGTTGGTCATGGGAAAGTCCAAGTGATTGTTGGTGCTGCTCGACCTGTTGGTTCACCAACAACGTTCATGCATCACACCATCCTAAACCAGCAAGTGCAACCCTTGGAAGTGGAGAAAGACGTACTGCAATGACACAAAAGCTTGCAGAGTTGGGTCGCGGGAGCGGAACGCGGAGTCCGGTCCGGCGGCCCCTTGGCGGTGATTGATCGATTGTCTCCAGGGTCCATGGATTCTTCAACGGCGCCAAGAATCGAGGGTCTGTTGGTTGAGTGTTTTGGAGTGTCTGTGAGCGTTCCTAGCGGTCTGCAATGTTGGGGGATAATGAGGAGCCCCTCCAGTCCGAAGGATGTCTTCTCTACTGCAGTCATCTTTGAAGCTGGTGTGTCCGTCTACCTATAAGAAGGTTGAATTCTTGCTCAGTCTCTAGACGATCCGGCCACTTCATTTGTCCTGGACTGCTAGTTTGAAACTGGCTTCTCATCTATCTAATCATCATGATGGCTTCGAACCCGCCACCAAAGATCCTTCTGAGCGGAGCAACCGGCTACGTTGGCGGGTCTGTCCTCCACCACCTCCTCAAGCACCCTTCTCTCACCTCTATCCTCACCTCTTCCTCTCCAATCACGATACCAGTCCGCGGCGGCCCAGACCGCGCAGCAAAACTTACGGACTCATATGGTTCACTTGTGAAGCCTGTGTCCATCGTCTCGTACGACGATACCTTGGCCCTGACAGCCCTTGCCTCTGAGCATGACATCGTGATCAACGCAGGCTCGGGGTTTCACCCGCCCTCGGCAGAGGCCTTCGTTCGCGGTATCGCTAAACGCAAGGATCGGAACGGAGGACGACCGGTCTGGATCATTCACACGTCGGGCGCTTCCAATATCGCCGATAAGCCCTTGACTGGAGTGAACAGGCCCAATGCTGAATATGAGGACGCCTTTTCCGAGAAGGTGTATGAGTTTGAAGAAGCCGAAAACGCCAAAGATCCGTACCCTCAAAGAACCGCAGAACTAGCCGTGCTCCGAGTCGGGGACGAACTCGGCGTCAACGCAGTCAGTATTCAATCACCTTGCATCTTCGGGCCCGGCTCAGGGCTCTTCAACAAGGCGGGGTTGATGATCCCCATAATGACGGGCTACGTGCTCAAAAACGGCTGTGGATTGACGTTGGGTGATGAGACGGGCTGTATCGACTACGTTCACGTCTCCGACCTTGCGGACCTCTACGTTCTGTGTGTTCTAGACATCATCGAGCGTGGTGGGGTCAATGTTCCCAAGGGCAAGAAGGGGATTATGTTCCCAGTTGTGGGCAGGACGTTGACGATTGATATCCCGCGAAAGTGTCTTGATATCGCGTTTGCCACTGGAAATCTTCCCAAGAAAGACGGACCGCGGGAGAAGATTGTTAGGAACGTCAGCCTTGAGGAGGCGGCGGAGACGTGTGCTGGGGATATGGATGTTACTGAGACTGGGTATGCTGGGCATCGTAAAACAAAAGGAACTGTGGCAAGGGAGAAGTTGGGGTGGAAGCCTGTGTATGGGGAGGAAGCTTGGTGTAAAGACTTTGAGACGGAGTTGAGGGCTGCTTTGAATGGGCAGAGGCCGCACACAATGGGGAACTGTATCGCTGGTACGAAGTGAGGTAAGTATGAAGACTTCTCAAAACACCTGCCGAAGTATTCGGCTCGAGCAAAGATAAAAAACTCGAGTTCACGTCTGATCGCCAGGCGAAACAACAATGGAGCGACGAAATTGATTGTGAGGTGCACTCGTACATGAAATTGCAACGCTGCTTAAGCTGGATCTTCATCGCACGCCATGCAGATCCCGGCGTCACCTGTATAGGTGGTGTTGATGTGAAGTCGTGTCCTGCTGCACTCAATAGTCTGCCATTCCGTCTCATAGTAGCCACAGCCGCAAGAGTAATGCATCCGCCATCGTTGTTTACACATATCTGAAGGTCTTGGCAATTTTGAAAACCAAGTTATTAGCATTGTTTCCAGCAGCTTGTCTGATGGCTGTGGATGATGACTCTCGAGACTTACGAAGGAAGAGGCAGGACGGCACTTCGAAAAGCGGATGTTTGTGCAGATGCTTGTGTTGTTGATTGTGGTTTCACGATAGTTACTAGAGCTCCACGTGAAGTCGCGGCAGGAGAGATGCTAGGTGCCAAAGGCCATATTTTCGGCGAGAGCCTGATTCTTCTGCCGAGCGATGATTTCAGCCACCTAGATTCCCGTGATAGTGATGATGATCGTCTGACACATATCGAGCACTGTGTTGATTGGTTGCTTCATTGACAATCAGCAGTGGCGCGCCCGTAATGGCTGCACAATGGTAGTCTCATGACATCTGAGGCACGCCAGCCGGTGTTACTACCGATGAGAACTTAATGATGTTCCTGGGCAAGCTTGGGGGGTCAGATCATTGTCAACGAGTCTCATCAGATCTCGTGTAACCTCAATTTTGTATGTACGGTTTGGTATGTTCGCTCAATATGCACACTCGAAACAGGTATTTAACACTATGGTATCGGGTTTTGCGGTGTCGCAGGCGTGGGGGTGTAAGTAACTAGTCGCAGCAACCATGTCCTTTTTGCTCATTTGTACAAGTCCAATTATTTCAAACCTCCAAACTTGATACACTTCTCGATCCAGCCCTTGCGCGGAGTCTCGGGCGGCGCTTGTTGCTGGTGCTGAGGCGGGTTGTTTACGCCACCGCCCCAGCTGCGCCAGGTGCTTTCGGTCGCTTCGGTCGGGGCCATGGAGACGCCGCGCTCGCCGAAGACGACCGGTGGTGGGTCCTGAAGCCACGGAGCTGCCGGGGCTTGCTGTTGACCGGGTTGCTGGGGTGGCTGAGTTTGGTACAAAGATAAGAGGGAGTTGGTGTTGTAGTCGGTTGAAGGGCTCCCGGTGTCGTAATGGCTAGACGGCGCATAGCGCTGCTGAGGCGGAGGAGCAAGACCGGATTGTTGCACTTGATCGGTGCTGCGGTAGGCGTCTGGTACATTGGGGACTGGCGGGGCGTTGACATTGTTCGTGCTGGCGCCGAAGCCGCTGCGGGTGGAATACATGCTGCTCCGGCCGGACATCGGGTTCAACTTGAGCGGGTGGTGGCGACGGATCCAGCTGGCGATGGAGTTTCGGACGTTGGGCTGGGCGACAGGCGCGGGCTCGAGAATGGGTAGCTGGCGGGCCGGATCGTATCTCTTCTCGTCGAGGTAGCCTTGGGGTGTAAGCGAGTTGCGGTCGTTACCGTACGTTCCGTTTCCTGCACTGCCATTCTCTGCGGCGTAGGCGTGGCCCATGAGTTCGGCAAAGATGCTTGAGGGTGAGCGGCGGGATGGACGGGCGGCAGGCATGGTGGGAGGTGAGAAGGTTGATGAGGGATCCCAATATTGATGATTGTCGGGAGAGATGCTTCGTTCGTAGAGGTGGCGTGCTTGACGGCGCTTTCGGTAGCGGAGGCACCACCAGATGCCGACGCCAATGACGAGGAAGAGGGCAGCGATGGCTGTGAGTGCGGTTAGATTAGGTCTTCGTCAGGACGTGGCGTCGACCCTCGACGGCAGTGATGAGCTGTTAGATAACATACCAATGGTCCCAAACGCAATCGCAGTCGGCGTCCATCCAATGTCATCAGACCTGTCGTTCCCTAGGCCCGTCTCATTGCCTCCCCTGGTCGTACCCCCTGTCGGTTGCGAATCGAAGCTGGTGGTACTGCGGCTGTTCGGGATGGCAGTGGGAAGAGTCTTAGTTGAGCTTGATGATTCAGTCGTGGTGCTAATGGAGGAAGAAAAAGGCGTAGCTCCGGTTTCTCCACGTTGCGGGCCGCGCGGAGGCTCAGTCGGTCTCGGGAACTCAGTGGACGTGGGCGAGGGGGAATCGCTCGATGTGCTGCTCTCCGTATCTGTCGGGTTGGCGGGGTTGAGAACGGCAGGCGGAGCTACTCCAACCGCCGGTGGCGGAGGGGGCGCCGTTGGTCTCGCGCCGGGTGGAAATGTGGTGCTCTTGGGCGACGGGGAATCTTCATCGTCGGATGAGATTTCGCCCTTGTCATCGCGGACCTCAATCTGCAGATCGTCTCTGATGTATCTCGGGCGGCGAATCGCGCGCCTATGCGTTCACTTAGTCTCGCCATCACTTATTCTGCCTTTCAGAATTGATAACCTACCTCCTGAGAGTGCCCATAGGAGAGACCATTTTGAGTTTGGTAATGAGTAAACAGTTAGGTTGGTACGTTGATTGTTGGTCAAGTGCTAATAAATCCGAGTCTACGGTCGAGGGAACAGTCACAAAAGTATGAAACTAGGTCGTCGAGACACAAATTTGATGAAGCAGTGCAGCTGAGAGGGAGACCGAATGGAAAAGAAAAGGGCACTGCCCGCGAAGAGAAGGTAGAGAAGGTGAAGAAGGCGACGAAGAGAAACTTGCAGATTCAAGAAAGAAGTTTCAAGTCATCTTGGCCTTGAATCGAAAGGAGGGGGAAAGAGTGACGTTCCCAGAGTTGTTGGTAGCCGAACGACGTGAAGGGTTAACGTACAGAAGAACCTCCAAGAGGGCTCCGAAAAGGAAGAAACAGGGACGTCTTTACTTTTTGGTCTCGTCTTTTCCATCCACCCTTGCAACGTTGCCAGTTCCTCTGGGCCTGTCTAGAGCCCGTGCAGCCGCTGTCTTGTCCATGTCATTGCGTCAGGAAGCGCTGTTGCTGCGAACACCCACACCACCCATTCACTGTGCCATCCCTGGCTTTGGGAGGCATTGTGGCAGTCTGGCAGAGAGAAGTTGAGATTGTTTGCCTTTCCTCTGCTCCTCTCCGTGTGGGTTGAGGTTACTTGGCGGAGGAGACTGGAGGAGCAGCCCGCAACCTTTCCAAACCTTGCCTGTCGCCAAGAGACGAACAATGCGGACAAGTGCAACCGAGGAGGCAGCACGAGGCAAGAAGAGGCGAGTAATGGAACACTGGCGCCGATGTTTCTCAGTTTCAGAGTTGTCTGCCAAGAGGTCCGAAAACGACTTCGTGCGACAAACCCTCCGCCCTTCCCCTTGCTCTCCCTACAACCTCAAGCCACTTGCGTGCCATCCAGCTTCGCTACCCTACCATTTCTCGCATTCCTCAGCCAAGGGTTCAGGGTTCTAGGGGGGCCCGGTCCCCGTCTCTCCCGCCAAGACGTCCCGCTGTCTGCCGTCTTTCCGGCCCCCGATTCGCCAGCTTGCACTCACAGTCTCCAGCGGCTTCGAAGCCGATGTGGGCGGCCCGGCCGGGACCACTTCCTCGATTCCTTTTAGTCTCCCATTGTCCTCCTCCCCGATTGAGGCTGGAAGGAGGCTCAGTTCTCCTCTCATCAGTCTCCTAGAGGCTTGTGTCTTCGACGTGACCAGGGGTGATGTTTAGTCAACATTCAACATCGACATGGTTCCTTCGCCAAAGGTGAGAACCGCACCGTTTCAGAATGTCTTTCGTCCCCGCCCACGCCGTGGCCGCCAGTGCCTGAAAGATTAGATCGGCCGTCCCGGGTTGAGCTTTTCTTGGTGACGGGGGATTGCACGTCAAACGGCCCCTTTTACCCTCAAGATCCGCCAATCAATCTCGCAAGCCTGCTCCTTCAAGTCCATTTGAAGTCTTTCAGACTGGCACGGTGAAAGAAAATCCTCCGCATTTCGATCGTCAGCGAGTCACGTTTCCAGGGTGTGCTGGTTTGACTTGAAGGCGCAAAAGCCAGATCGGGGAACCTAAGTTACTACCCAGGGAGAGTGATGAAAAGGTTGAACTCTTCCAGCCAAGAAGACCAACCTGCAAAAGCCAAGTTTATTTGACAAATTGATGCGCGAATGCACAAAAGACTGAAGGAGAGAGCTCCCCTCGAAGCTGGGGCGAAAGCTCAAACCAACCTTTAATCAACCGAAATTCCACAGACCATTGGCTCCCCCGTTCAATTTAGTTCGAACGAACGAACTCACCCCCAGAACTCTGCTCTGCTTTTGTCAAACCTTCTGATGTCTGCTTGCTTTTCGTTGACACCACACCTTGCGGTTGAACTTCAATTGATGATCACGAATGATAACCCATCCTTTCTGCCGTTTGTCGATCGTGTTCGTTTGCGCGTTCTCAAACAGCGCCACCCGCTGCACAGCGCAAGCGCGCATTAGCCAGCCCGGGGATCAGCAGTTTGAACTACGAGCGATCCCCCTTCTGCTGGTGGCCGCGTTGCACCATTGAAGGAAAGGGAACGGAGAATTAATAACCATAAGGCTCTCGCCCCTGAATGAGGTTCCTGCCGGTTCTCTTTACGCGTTGCACTGGCTTCATCTACTCGATTCCGCTAGCATTGCTTGACGTCGTCCGGAGTGTCCTTCCACGGGGAGATGGACAGCTTTTCATGAACTTGAGACGGTGGTGGGCAAATGACCCCGTCAAGCTCGAAAGCTTGGCCTTTCCCGACTGTGCAGCGCTTGAAAGGGGCGCGGCAGAGAGTGGGCTCCGTTTAATCTACAGGTGAGGCAACCTTAAATGCCTACCCCGAGTCAATCCCACCGGATATCGTGCTCGTAATACTGGGCCCTGCGGACTTGTAGGGGACGGTTAGCGCTCGGGCGATGCAATTTCCAGCATGGTCGGCCGGTCACTTCATCTCGCCATCT